TGTTGAGGCCCAATTGAAAGTATTGTGTTTGAGCTACTATATGGTAGCCTACGTGATAAACTTGTATCCGACATTGAAGTGTTGATGATACCTTGTCAAGCCAAAAAATCCTTGAAGCTCATAGAGTTTGGGAGGGGATGGTGACCTTTTGACTACTTTCACAGCTAGATCTACTATGACAATTTCTATAGATATCTAATGGTTAAGTTAGGTTATTCATAGCGGCCCAAAGGAACACTTCTCTGGGTTGATGTGTAGTTGGTGAGACTATAGGGCTTTGAGTACCTAAGTTAGATAGAGTTTCTGAGAAATTTGTAGAAAATCTAATTCATTAACATCTAAAAGTTCTGAGAGGCCAAAAGGCATTATGAGGAATTTGTGATAGATTTTGTGTCTGAAATAGTGCTTCTGACATGTCTTTAGCTTAGATTCTAATCTTATGATAACCAAATAGAAGATTTAGTTTTGAACATACTTGTGCTTTGTTTAAGTCATCTCTTTTTTGAGGGTGTTATAGTCCAAGTAAGGTCTTCTTTTTATGAGGTTATTGCCTTCTTGAGGGTGTAATAGTCCAAGTAAGATCTTCACAACCCATCTCTTTTTTAAAGAAGGAGAACATGACTTAAAAAGAGGCTATTTGAGTGTTGGGTGATGTTTATTTCTAATATTTTTCAAATCAATTTCTTTAATTTTATTTTCTAGAAATATTGGTACCTAAAGAGCCTCATGTTGATTGGCTTTGAATTTTGTTTTAGGGGAATTTGATGATCTAGATCTCTATTGGGAGTCTTTAAATGTCAGCGAAGTTGTCTTGACTTGGAGTCTAAGCTGATGTTCGAGGGAAGTTGAATTTACCTTTAAGTCCTATTGTGTTAATTAAAATATCTCATAGCAGATTTGTCCCATTTTAATGCTACATGACAAGGATTAGAGAGAGATGACTGACAAAATTTTTAGAGCCTTTTTTTGAAGGTCACTTACACTACTTTAATTTTGAAGGATATGATCCATTGTTTGAAGTCTAGTTCGATGTTCTTTTGGGCTTTCATCCATTGAACTCTTGGGACAATATTGATCATGACTAGAAGAAAGATCAATCGGTCATCTTAGATGACTATCACTTGTAAGTTGACGACAACTCTTTGGTTATCTCTTCCCTAGTACTAGATCAGTTAGTATTGTAAGATACTTGTAATTGGTGGACTAAGTTCCTTCATAATGCTGTAACCAATGAAGTTGTGAGTTGTTCTACTATCGAGAAAACTCATGACTAGTTTATTATCAATCTCCACTTGAAATTTCATAGCTTTAGTTAATATTTTTTTAAAGAGAATTTAAGTATATTGATTTGAGTTAATTGTTGCATAATAATTCATGTAAATTTTAATTTATAAAATTAAAAAAATATTAATTTTAATATATTTAGAATATTTTTAAATAAATGTATTTATCTTAATTTGATAAAAAGCTTCAAAAATAGTGAAATGTTTTCAAGTCAATCACGTGTATAACATAGTATAGATAAAATTTCAGAATTTTTCTTAAAGAATATAATTTTGTTGATTTTTAAACTAAACGATTTAAAGGCTCTCCTTAGATATGCATGATGTGACCAAACTTTGGATCCTTTTTACCATGTCCAAAAAGTGATGATGGAAGTTGGTGAAACATCTTCAGTGACTATCACTTGATAGAATAAAAGTTCAACTGCAATGGGTTCTTTGATGGTTATCACTTGATAAAGTTGAGTTGGATGGAAGTGAAGCACATCTTTAGAAGGCCCTTACTCAAGTCCACATAGTAAGAGGAGGCTCATATCATATTTGGAATGCTCTACTAAGGCTGCAATTAGTCTCTCAAATCTATTGTCTTATTCTAGATGATGACTTGTTCATTGATCAATCAAAAATGATTTCCTCAAAAAATTTATGATTTTTATACGTAAAATTATTAGTCAATTCTAACGATGATCCACGATAATCATTAACAAAAATTTCACTAAAGATTGAGGGATTTGAGCGGCTTGACTATTGACCAATGCTCTATAGAAAAATCGCAAGTTGAAATAAATAAAAATGTAAATTTTAACTTTGTTGGGATTCAAACCTTTGCTAGTCACCTTGCTGAATGAAAGAGGGTTAAAGAAAGACCAAAAGACCCTTGAAATAATGAGCTCATGGCCACGTTTTCTTCTAATACTATAGGAGTATTTTCAGCATTATTTTGTTGACATGTTTCAACTATGTTTTAGTTCCACATCGATTGTTTCAAAGGTTTTGAGATCAATATAATTATGAGCTTACTTTGCTTTCAAGTGCCCTCTCACAAAAACATAATGGCTATGACCATATGGGGAGAGTGTTCCATAAAATCAGGTGGTCTGCCACCACATATACACTTGTGCACAAACACTCCTTGCCCCATGCCTAGTTGTCCCTTGGTGACATGGAAGGGGAGTGTCACACATGTGTTTTATGTGGGTTCCTTAGTCAATCAAGTATAGCTTATGGCTTCCTCGATTGAGCTTCCCACTCTCATGCAACACCCTCTAGGTCAGCTGCCAAGTGTTGGCTGGCCAATAGGTCCCCCCTTTTCTTGCATTTTTTTATTTAATTTTCTTCATTTTAACTTAAAAACATGAACCTAAATATCATATAAAATCATATAATTAGCTAAGAATCTGTTTTCTCTATTAAAAAATAACAAGTGTATATTTATCATGTGTTAATTTAGAAAAAAAATTATTTTAATCATTATTAACTCATAATAATAAACACTTATTAAATACCTTGAGGGCCAATGATTCATTTCTATGTGGATGTTGGATGACTCTTCTCCCATGTCTAGAAGTTATTGAAATGCATAAACCTTTTCTAAAATAATGAGAATTCATGATTTCTTTTGATAGTAGTGACCCAATGAGAGTTTCTCTTTGCATGTGAAGCACAGCCTTGAGTATAGCATGGTTGGGTTTCCACATGTATGAGGTTGAGTCTCCCCCTATCTAGGTGATTAGCTTTCGTGTTGGTTGTTGAAGTTGTCTAATGTCCAAGCTTCTTCCATTGTCATTCCACCATTGCAGTTATGCAATTCAATGTTCTCCATTTATGCAAATAAAAGTTTTGACTCTTTTGTGGGGGTTGACAAAACAGAGTCTGCTTAATAAGCTAAATCAAAGAGGGCATTATTCCACAGGTTAATCTTTTGAGCAGTTCTCAGTATCACCTCAAGCCTAATAAGTTCAAATAAGCATACTTCAACCCATATATCCTTCAACATGCGTTTTATGAAAGTATTCTCTAATATTTACTTTGAAATATCTTTGATTATGACTATCAAAAGTTCAAATTCTTCTCTATAATCCATGATCCAATCTGTTGTTTGACCTTCAGAATTTTTTTGATAGAGTGAACTAGACTAATTGAGTTGAATCATTTTAAGATTTTGTGCCATAGGTCATCCTAAGTTTGAAAGAGTTTGTGGCCATCCACCCATTACAACTAGGCAAGAGCTTTGCCTTCCATACTAAGGTCAATAGGAGAAGGCGGTGTGCATTACTAAATAGGTTGTCAAGTTATTGATCAGGATCCTAGTCCCTTGTTTCTCCTTGGCCCATGGTGGATTTTCTATGGTTGGACTCACCCATAGTCCATTCTTCTAACAAGCTCATGTGAACTTTTTCTTTGTTTGGCCAAGTAATGAGAAGGATTATTTGTGACAAACTTCTTTGATGGCCTAGGTGATAGAACCTAGTTGTTGAATAATTTCTACTTGTGTATTTTGAAATGTTGCCTACTCTTTTAAAATTTCTTCTTTGTTTACTTTATCTGTGCTGGCCTTTTGTTGGGCCTCCTATAGAATTTTTTTGAATTCCTTTTGTAAGAAGTTTAGTTTGGAATTACTGAATTTGGAGGGTATACTCTTTCTCTAATGCTAAATGATGGATCCTAAGAGATAGTGGTGAGAAAGAGATGGTCGAATAAACAAGGAAACAAAAATATAATAGAAGATTTACTCAAGAAATAGGGAAAACTTGATAAACAGAATGGATAGGAGGATAGAGGGAAGAATCTACAGAGGGACCTCTCATGAGAAGACTAATTTGAGATGACTAATCTCCCTTTCTTTGCTTAGATATATGAAACTCATAAAATACTTGACTTTGTCTTATAGAGGACCTAAGGTCTTCTCATAGCCATATGGTCTTCAGCAATTCATCATCATGCATGCTCAACCTCTAATTTTCCCTACATTCCATCATCCTTGATCATACTCAAGCTTAAATATTGGGAAAGCAAAAGCATTTGGCTTTACAAGAAATTATTACTATTGTAAGGAATGAAGAAAGTAAAAGGAGCCTCATGGTGAAGTCACAAAGAGTTGACAATTCAACATTTGTGACTTCACAAAAGGAAAGCAAAGGTAATCTCCTTAGAATCATGGATAGTCAGATCTCCTCTAGAGTTTTGGTTTATAAAAACCAAACCCTGCTTGTTCAATTTTGGTAGTATCATTAATTGTTCTAGGTGACCTCCTAAGTTTACTATATGTTTTGAAGGAAATAATTTTCTTTTCTTTTTTACTTCATTTTCCTCTTAGAAAGACTCCTTTCACTTTTCTACTATAGTTAATGATAGTTAGGTGTTTAGCTTCCTCCATAGTTGAGAGCTTAAGTTTCAACCATGAACTTAATGATATCACCTTTTTTGCATTTAATTTCGATTTTTCAATCTGGTCGAGAAGCCACCAAGTCTCGGCTAGGTTTCGTCACTACGCCCAACAACATTACCGGGCCGGAATCACCGGCCTACGGCAGCACAATCACCTGCCACTTAGGCTAATGGTGAGGGCATACACCTACTGCGGCTATAATTATGCATTCACTGGATAGAAATCAGTAAACTTGGTTACTATTAAATGCAGATGAAAGAGCACACAAGTACTAAACTGACCATTGTTATGAGGGTCGTCATTCTATCCGCTTTTAAACCAAGAACCTTTCAGCGGCCGTCAACATTCGTGAGAGTAATCACGTTTGCAGAGGACAATGAATTATAGCCGTCGGAGAACCACTGGGCTGCTGCCGCCAGGCTGGTGGGTTTAAAGAACCCGGGCTTCTCGGCCTGTGGCAGCACTGAGGTCCTGTTGGCCAGCATGAGAACCACCTCTTGCATGGTTGGCCTGTCGTCTGGAGACTCCTGCACACACAGTAGCCCAACCTTCATATACCTCAGGACATCGGAGAACTTAGTTGGAGGCCTCAGTGTGTCGTCCAGGAGCTTATCACATTGGTTGTCTCTGCACAGTCTCCAAGCCTGATATGAAAGTTTCCCATAAGAGTAAGCATTGTATGCATCTTTGGGCCATTAGTAGCCAATGATGATTGCGGTAAATGGAATGGTATTCTGTAGATTGTTCTAGCTGTGCTGCACGTACGTTAGCAAGAAGCTGCATGTGGGTGTTCTTCTGAGAGACCCACTGGTTCTTCCTTCCACTTATGATCTCCAACACCAGAACTCCAAAGCTGAAGATGTCAGACTTCTCCGAGAAATTCCCATTGATGATGTACTCTGGGGACATGTATCCGCTGCACCGTTCGTGAAACGAAAATAATACTGTCACTGTTCGTCATGAGATCAAACGAAAATGAATAACTAGCTCAAGAGAGAGGACGTACATGGTGCCGACTATTTTGATTGTGTTGTCCTCCATTTGGTTCCTTCCAAAGATCCTGGCAGTGCCAAAGTCCGAGATCTTGGGGTTCATAGCCTCGTCTAGGAGTATGTTGGCAGCCTTGAGATCCCTGTGGATGACTCTGAGCCGTGAATCCTGGTGGAGGTAGAGAAGCCCACGGGCTACCCCCAAGATTATGTCCAAGCGCTTTTCCCAGTCCAATAACCGACGCTTCTGGACATCACCTGCATGTAAATGAAGGTTCTTTTCTGGGTCAACAACCAATGGCTTTTAACGCTACTGGCGGATCCCTATAAGTTACTTGCGACCATCATCAGTATCATTGTTCGCAAGCATTGGGACAATATTGAAAATTCTAATCCCTATGATTGCAATCAAAACAAAAAATCAAGGATCCTACCGAATATGAAGACATCCAAGCTACTATTGGGCATGTACTCGTAGACCAACAGTCTTTCTCCTCCTTCAATGCAGCATCCAAGAAGCCGGACAAGGTTTCTGTGTTGGAGTTTGGCAATCAGCCTAACCTCAGTCGTGAACTCTTCAATCCCTTCTTCAGAATGTGAGGAGAGTCGCTTTACAGCCACTTCTCGCCCGTCCACAAATTTTCCCTGATAATTTGCACAGAAGGCTTGCGAAATTAGCACTACGTCTCCAATAAGTCATGAAGGAGTAAGATACCTCCAGGAGGAGGATATAAAAAACCTGACGTATTGTTAGCTGATAAGGAACACGTTTTACTAGGAGACGCGATAGAAAGGAAATCTCACCTTGTAGACATAACCAAACCCTCCTTTCCCGATCTTATTTGCATCTGCGAATTTGTTTGTGACCAATGCTATCGTATCCAAATCAAACAGGGGCAGATCGTTGTTTTCATCAGTAAGACCATTGTTGATGCTTTGAAACCTTGAACCTGACATAGATGCATGGACACTAAGATTAAACAGCAGTTGCATGCGCCCGAATGTTTCTCTAGATGATAAAAGTGATTCCTTAGTGCTATTAGTATTTTCAACATAAAAGTTTTCCAGTTCTACAGAGGACAATCAAATGGAAATCCTTTGTGAAAGTTCTTTTCATCTTACCATGTTCGATTATGGCTTCCGCCTTCTGATTCCTCTTTCTCCATATGCAATATCCACAAAGTACCGAAAAAAGCAACACCAAAGCTGAAGCCACCGTGACGGCGATGATTGCCCTGTGTTTCTTCTTAGATGGATTCCCAAGAATCTCTTCTGCATGAGAAATAATTTCATGTTAAGTAAAAATCTGGATGCTTCTGAATATTAAGGGAAAAGAAAATCACGACGAGGAAGTAGGCTGGATGTGCATTTGCAGCCATTCTGTAGGCTGCCGTGCTGTTCCACGGCCTTGTAAACAGGCCTATATTATCAGCAGGAGGAACCCATAGGATCACTAATTAATTATGTTTACCCAATGAAGGGCGGGACAGAAAAGGTGAAGTAGATCAGCTGAGAACTCCCCTCTAAGAACTCGCTCTAGGAGGACAGGTTTGAAGGAAGATTCAACGCGAATGAAGTTAAACAGTAAGGGCAGAGGACCCAGCTTATTTATTTATCTCAAAAGAGAATGAAGATGCAGAGTTGTCGACTGGAGGAAGTCGTTGCGATACCTTGATTTTGCTGTCTAACATTCCTGAACCCAGAAGCAGTGGCAAAAATATGAAACGAATTTTGGCTATCAGGGGATTCTCTTAACCACTTCGAATTAGATAGTGAAGAACACAGCTCGTAACATAGATGAGGGCCCTTGTAGGGAGTCAAGTACTTTTGCGAAAAAATCTCGGAGAACATCATCAATTTCGGTGGATGCTCACGGGGAAATCAACCTGGCCGGCGAAAAGGACTTCATCCACCCCCCCCCCCTTGCCATCGTGTACGCTGCCGCTGCGAGGCTCAACGCTTGACGAAGAGGGCGTTCTCTCGGGGGCCGTCCGCCGCAGGGTTGGGGCTCACCGCTGCGGACCTCCATGGCGAATAGCCACCGCGAGAAAGCCTCCACAACCGTCCGCATTTTCGGACAGCCTCCTCGCGAAGAGTGGCCTTGCCGACTGGCAATGCGGCGCCCACTCAGCAGAGAGCCTCACAAGACGGCTCTCTCTGAAGTCTCCCAGGGGGAACGGCATCCGTGAAGGGTGGCCGTCGGTCGACCCGGGGGTACTGCCGAGAAATGGGCTTCGGACGAGGCATCCTTTCCAAGCCGTTTCCCATGGGCTAAAGCCCACCCCTGGCCACGATGGCCAGTCCCTTTCCCCTCTACCCCGCCCCCCCCTCCCGAAAAAAAACATTAATAAATAGTTAATGAGGCATACTGACTGCTACAAAATTACTATCAAAATATGGATCTCCTTTCCTGAAAAGAACTCCGTATGGATAATCTACTCCGGAAAATAATAGTTTCCATCGAATTCCTTTTAAAACGGGAAAATGCAACCGAAATATGAAAACAGGAGAGGTTAATTCGCAGTTTTATACCTCCCCTCGAACAGAAACCCTAATCTTGCTGCGGTTTCTGCAGAATATCAAATATCACTGTAGCGAATAGCCGTAGGTTAAATGGGTCGGGAAGATACTAAAAGGAAAGGCATAAGGCATTTGATCAGCCTACTTAGATACGACTTGTGATTCTGGTTTAGGAGGGAAGAACCCCAAAAATATGAACATCGGAGCATCCTTGAGGCGCTGGTTCAGACCAGTCAGACGTGATTTCACTCGAGTAAACGCTCAGGTGAGTGAGATGGTAGAACGTACCGAGATCAGCCTTCGCAAGTCGTATGTAAATATTTTGCCCATCTTCAACTTGCCCAAAAGTTCTCATATCAATCAGATCCCCAATCCAGGTTATGCAGCCACTTTCTCCTCCGCTGATGTTCGCGCTCGCGTATGCCACGCAGGAGCAATTCCTCCAACATGATTCCCTACATTCATCGAGATTCATGCCCATGTCGACGGTGGAGTTCACCGTGTCCGGCAACCTCATCCCCGTCTCCAGCCGAAACCCGTCGCCGTCGGTGCAGTTCAGACTCGTATTCCTCACGCAGCCTCCACTCCAGTTTCGAATATTCCACTCGTCTTGGTGCTTGACCCGGAATCCCCTAAGGCAGTTGCATGCGACAGAAGCATCGCTGTTGCAGACCCCGTTGGGGCCGCAGAGGGAGTAGTTGCTGCACCGGTCGATGTCCGAACTCCATAGCTCCTGCCAGCCCGCCTTCTTACTATCCCACAGCAAGCGCCTCGCCACTCCGGAATGATCCGTCACCAGCCTAGCGAGGGTCGGCTCCTGGGTTATCCCGTACTGGTAGTACGTCTCCTCCAGATTATGTACCACGGTAAAGTTGAACATCGTGTAGGACTTCGTCGTCGGTGTGCCGCTGAAGCGGAGCCCGTTCCAGGGGCCGCTGCGGTAGATCACCGTCGTGTTATCCAGCACGAAGGGCTGACCCATCCCGCGAGGATCCAGCTTGTAGGTGAATCGCCCCGGCGAGGGATCGGTCGCGTTCCTCCACGCCGTCAGGTTCCGATCACGCCCGGTCCTGTAGTCCGGCCCGATCTTCATCCCCGCAAGCATGGTATCCGTTGGGTGGTCGAAGCTTTGCCAGAGAAAGTCTCCGGCCGTAGGACTGATCCCTTCTCTGAGCACGAAATTGCCGGAGTCCAGCAGCTGTGCGGTGGCGCCGACCGAGCTGGTTTGTCCCGTAGACCAGAAGATTGTGTTGGGAGGGTTCCCGGTGAGGACGAGATTGCCGCTGGTGTCGATGCGCAGGATACCGGAGGAGTCGTTGAGAGGCTTATCTCTGTTCGCGACCCATACGACTGTTGTATTAGAAACGGCGAACCATATGCCCAGATACCTCTTACCGGAATCCCCCGGAGAGAAGAACCCCAGCACGAAGATCCCGCCGGCGGAGACGAGAGTCTGGCCATCGCTGATGTTCTGCAACTGCTGAATTGTGTCTATACCGCTTGAGGACGATACGAGGACGAAGAGAGAGATGACTAAGCAGTAGGGGAAGATCGTCGAGGATTTCCCCATGCTGGAAATGGTACCTTGGATCTCAGATCTTTAAAGGGCACCACAATCTTCTGATCAGGAATGGATATGGGTATGATGAGCAGTAGAGTCATATCTGAGCGCGACGGCCGTCGATAATATGTCATTCTTGCTTCCGACAGTAAAATATCCGCGGGTAGATGAACAATGGAAGCTTGTGTTCACGTATTTTGGCTGGTTTTTCTTGCTTGTGTTGCGTCTTACGACTTCTGGTATTCATCGCGAACTTTAACAGGGGACAACGCATTGTATTTATGGTTCTGCAACAACCGCCACATGATGTACCTGTCAGGTTAAACGATTCGGTTGACCGGAGATACAACTCCTGTCGATGTTAAATATAACGTCACGATCATACATGCCGAACAATCACAATAACCTTTAATAAACGAAACTTGACAGGCAAGACACTGCGGTTAAAGTCAGCTGCCGCTGAAAGCGGTTTTTCTTTCCTCAGAGACTTGGAGAAGCTCTTGATGTCAGCGCTGCAAATTAAATGTCGACTGCCTAAACATTTTTAAATTTAAGACGTACAGTTCTTGAACGGGCCATCTCTGACCAATTTATCTAGAGCTATGCTGACGCCCGTTAGCCATGCTCCTTTCCAACCGTGATAGTAGGAGACACGCCGAAATATTGACAAAAGGGGAGAGGACTTGGTGGGTGACGCCTAGTGTTTTTATTATGAGCCCACTTGACACTTGTCTGAAGGTCAACGAAACCCCGAAATCATACCTCCCGCAAAGAATTCCAAAGGTGGCTCTTTTGACCGGCAGAGAATCAAAGCGCACCGGACTTTAAAGATGAACGAAAACAGCCCCACAACTACCCCGTCGACAATGACCGTTGAGCGGTATTTCAGTTCCCACAAAGCGGAGGCCTTTCACCGACCTTATTCAAGGTTCGTTCCGTGAGTAATTTTCTGGACATTACTTGTCGTGTTTCTTTGTTCCAAAACTCTTTTACTACACAGGAGGAGTTATCCTAACAGTTACACTTCAATTGAAACCCAGTTTAAGGCGCTCCAGTGAGGCCGAAATATAGCCATTTTTAGCCAATGAACAAGATGAAACGAGGAATTAGCCAATGAGCAGACGGTTTGGCTGTTACATTATTCGCTGTGGCACCATCTGATACCATGATTTTTACCTGGCAGAAGAAGGCATCAATGTGCTTACATATACCATATGGTTTAAGAGGGAAACCTGACATATCCAAACGGGTCCTCTTACCACTTTCAATCTCCAACTCTAAAACTGCTAGGCTGAACGCGTCATACTTCCCCGAGGAATTTGCGTCTGTGATGATCTCCGGAGACCATTTCACCATTTGTCAAAGAGAATATGATCTTAAGACTATTCGGCAGGAGATTAACTGGAATGGATAGCGCGCCGTAGAGGCGTACATCTTGCCGGCTATTCTGTCCATGATCATATCCACCTGATCCTTCCCTGCGATCCTGGCAGCGCCAAAGTCCGATATTTTGTGGTTCATACCCACCCGTCAAGAAGGATCTCACCCGCTTCGAGGTTTCTGGGAATGATTCTGAACCCCGAATCTTGGTGGGAGATAGAGAAGCCCGGGATCGACCCCCAAGAGTACGTCCAAGTGAAATCGCTCATCCGCAGTAGGTATAAATGACGCTCAGCACTACTATCGACATCATCACGGAGACAGCCTGCTACACCTCATCTCACTACCTCTATTGTCCTCTTTGCGTCTAATGAGACACACCTTCGGATGTAAACAAGAAATATAAGATTTATATGCCTTATAATCCTAAACAGACGTAGCTGGCCCTTTAGCAAACACATCCAAGGTTTTGTTGAGCTGTGTACTCATAAATAGCATCTTCTCTTCTCCTCCAATGGAGCAACCCAGAAGTCGAACGAGGTTTCGGCGTTGAAGTTTGGCAATCAACGTAACTTCGGTCTTCACGGCCAGTTCGTACCCGTCACGTAATTTTGTCGGATAAACAAATTGAAAATAAATTACCTACGCCATTAGGCCGAGGGTTCAGTAGAACCCCAGGTAACTTTCACGACCAGAGATGGATCATCAAAACATGAACAATCACCTTGCACGCGAAACCAAAACCTCCTTTTCGACATTTATCCTCGGAAAAATTCTGCGTCACGCTATATGCGGTTCGGAGATCAGACAAGGGCCTCTCGTGATCCTCTGCACCGATGGGTAGCGTGAAGGGCTTCACTCTGTTGCCTAGCGTGGAAAAAATGAGGCTAACCAGAGTAGTAAGCACATGAGGTCTATCAAGTTAGGCAAAACCTTAGAGTGTCCATATTGGTTGGCGTAAGGGTACAATTGAATGTGAGTACTGTGAACTTGGCCTTCCGGTTGGTAGAGAAATTGATGGTTAAAGCTCTCGAGAGGAGAACTAACAATGAGATGATGATGAACTGAATGTAAACATTTCGGCCAACCTTGGTTCAAAAAATACAGGCTTGTAATGCCACTGTCTTTAGCTGTTCATGTGTTTATTACCTTTGTCGAAGCCGCCGGAGAAGGATCTATTTGCTGGTCGCTGGAGAGGGCGACTGCTGCCGAATGGGATGCAAAAAATGACTAAACTAACCTAGACAAGTAACTTAGACTCAATTCTCACAATCTCTAGAAAATAAATTCAAATCATACATTAAATTAAAAAACATGAGATTCTCATAGTTACCTAAGTTCTGTCGTCCAATCCTCTAGTCTTTATTTCTTTTGGATCCTCCTACATTGTTCTTGGTCTATATTTCTAGATACCTAAAGAAAAGAAGAAACAAAAACATATAGTGCCTAATGAATCTAAAGAAAAAAATATATTATATTGATCATAATCATTCTGAATATCAATATTTTTCGTTCTAGAAAATTTATTTTAAATAAAAAATAATATAAAATAAAAATAGTTTTCTTTGTATTTTAATGGCATTCAATACCCAATGATGTTCTCATCAAGTTTGAACCTTTGAAGTTTCCAAATTTGATGTATGCCCACATTCATGAATGATTGATGACTTTAAACCTACAAAATATTTCAGCAAAACTAGCAAAAAAAATTACAAATTAAAATAGAAATAAATGGCAAAAAATAAATCTTAAATCAAGAAAAACAAGGGAGGATAGTGGAAACCAACCACCTGTTAGTGAAAATTGAAAATGATTTGAGTCAAATTGTTATATAATTGAGTAATTGCTTGAAGAAATGGATTTAGGGGATCCTAAATAAGTTAACTTTCATCATAAAATTAAAATCATAAAAATAACTACTAAAAAATAAAGTTAACACAAGTTCTCCACCAATGGAGCAACTTCGCTGATTGTAAAATTGGAAAACGATTTTGATTAAATCCATATAGAAATTGAGTAATCTATCAAAGTAAATGAATTCAAAGGATCTTAATGAAGTTAACTTTAAAAAAAAAATCAAAATTACACAAATAAAGACTAAACAAAAATGAAATCAACTTATGAACTTTACTTACCTATGACCTAGGAACAAAGTACTATCTTGGTAAAAATATTGGATCAAAAAAATAGTTGTAGAGCAATAAGTGTCTATTATTATGAGTTAATTATTTGTTAATGATATATTTTATGTATTAGCTTATGATAAATAGTCTTATATTTATCATAAAGTGAGAAAAGTAATTTTAATATGACTAACGTAAATTTGTGGTTAATTATGTGATTTTATATAATTTGTATATTTATGTTCGCAAGTGAAAATAAAGTGACATAAAATAAATAAATAAAATATTAAAAATAGAGGAACCCATTGGCCAACCAAGACTCAATAGTTGGCTTAGAGGACACTACACTCAAGTGGGTGGGCCTAGGCTAAGTAGAACCACAAGCTTGCTCTAGTGGCTAAGTACTCATGAACATGCGTACATCACTCTTGTTTCATGTCATAGGGAGGGATCCCATGCATAAGGAAAGGTATGATCTCATCACACATGCATTGTGTGGGGATGGACCACATGGTATACAACGAACAAATTGAAATCGAAGAAAATGGAATTTGTTTTTATGAGAAGGAACTGATGTTAATATGAAACTTCTTGAAACAACCAATGTGGGACTAAACTGTAGCAATATTCGTTGACAAAAATAATGAAAAAAATGCTCCAACATTAAAAGAAGGTTACACATTTGTATATTTATTGTTTTAAGGATATAATAGGCATTTTCTTACATTTTCTTACACAGCCAAGTGATTGACGGAGGTTTGAATCCTACTGATGCCAAAAATATATATATTTTTTGTTTTGACTCTATAATTTTTCTGCAGGAAAACAATCAATGGAAAGAGCAACTGAAATGGTCAATTGTCGACATAATCTTCATCAATGATAATCAAGGATCATTGTTAGTAACTAAACAAAGATTCTAGATAAAAAGTGAGAACTTTGAGAGGAAATCATATCTCATGTTGGTGGATGAATCAATCATCATCAAGAAAGATCAACCAAGAGGTTCATTTTGGTCTCTTCAAAGTGCTCTATTTGTGATAATAACCTCCTCTTGCTACATAGATCTAAAGATGAAGCTCTCTAAGATCCACCACACCTTTATCAATCTCAACTTCATTAAGTGATTGTTCAGTTAATGATTAACTCAAGAAGAGAAAATATATTTTTAATGATTTTTAAGCAATCAGTTGATTATCTCAAAATTGATGATATTTGATGTGAATTGAATTCAGATTCATGTGATGAATTTATTGATGTTAAAATTATTTGGATAATGATCTGAGGTCTAATATTATATAGCTAAAACTATATTTTATTTTAATTTTTGACATGTACATGATTGTTAGATGATTTAGATATAAAGACAATTAAATATCTCTACATAGTAAATATGTTATGTTCTTATGAGGAGGTTGTATGTTTAAAATTTTTCTATATCAAATGACTTAGCTAATATATGCATATGAGTAAAAATATAAAGAGTTTTAAACAAGGATTCAAGTAAAATAAATTTTACAGAGAATTACCAAAGTGTTGATTTGATACTCATTTTACAAGATTACTAGTTTTATATATTCGTGCAAGAGAAAAATGGTCCAGAAGCATAACCTTTCATATTAAAGTAATTTTTATCTCAAAAAATACATGGCCGTTTGAATTTAAAGAAGAATTCAGGCTAAAAACTATTCGTAAATATTTGGAGTATCAAGAGAGTTATGAATTTTTAAATATTTGCATTTATTTTTTTCTGTATTTTTTAGGATTCATGTGCAGCCTATTAAGGCCCATTTTAGCTTTGACCATTTGACCCGACTAGGGCCAAAAGGGAGCGGTCCAGCTGACCTATAAATAAGGTAGTTCACCCAAAATTAGGGCAAGAGAGAAGAACACAACTTCTCAGTGATGATTATTTCATATTATTTACTATTTCTACCTCAGTTTGTGGTGTGTGGACTGGTTGAGACACTTGTGTTGTGTTGTCAACGCAATCCCATTGTCTATTGAGACACCTATAGTGTTCTTGAAATGAGGAGACCTAAGGACCTAAGAACTCTAGGCTTAGAGTTCTAGGTTGGTTGATTGTAAGCTCACGAAGCCTAAGAATATAAAAGGTTCTCGATTCCTTTAAAATCAGGGGTGTATTCCAAGGCTGAATAATGGAATCGAGGTGGAGTCCTCGAAGGTGGATGTAGGTCAAAGGAGTTGACCCAACCACTGTAAAATTTAGAGTGAACTATCCTTTGTTGATTTATTTTATATTTCTATATTAATATAGAGATATAAATAAGATATTAATAGATAAAAATAAAAGAAAATTTATTATACTTAATAAGAAGAAAAATTAAAAGTTAAGTCACCCCCCTCTTCTTTTGAATTATCCAACTATCTAGGGACCAATAGTGATAGCTTCTAGAACATCATTTTCTTCAAACTATCGCTTTGACATGTGGCAACCACCAAAGACACTTGACCAGCATTGTTCTTCACCCTCTAGACTTCACATGAGAATTTAGAGAGTGCTCAAATTGTGCACATCCAAGGAGAGCCTCTGAGACCTTGAACACCCATTGGATACCTTCAAAACATATAGAATTCTAAGGATGGCCATGAATTCTATTTTTACTTGAATTTAATTTTTGAAGCACATGTTTAGCCCATTATGATTCATTTTATCAAATACTATTATACATCCTAATGATCAACTTGAAAATGTTTTATTGTTTTTGAGCTTTTCTCGATTTAAAATCGATATATTTATATAAAAATAATTTTTAAAATCTAAAAATAAGTATTTTTTTAGTTTTATAAATTTTAAATTTACGTGATTTAATATATAATGACTAAGTCATGTCAAAGAACAATAAAATGTGGCTTTAAATGCTTAATCTCCTTGTCTCTTTGTCACCTAGATGATAGAATAAGATAAAAAAAAATCAAATCAAAATAGAAATTGAATTTGGAAGCACCCTCTATCATTCTCATTGTCTCTCACCAAAAAATAGAGTATTAGAAATTGATTTAACATCTATTCTAAAGTTGTAAGAAATAATGAATCTAGTTTGTTTGCCTCTCACCTAGATGATGTATCAATTGAAAATAAAGATAAAATGTATTAAAAATAGAAATCAAATTCATAAAACACATTGTTGCCTCACTGATCTCCACTTGTCACCCAAAGACTACTCGAACAAAATGCTTCAAATGCTTGTCACTCATCCCTACTTGATCCTCCCTTTATCTCCAAGTTCCCTTCCAATTTTCATTCAAAAATATCATTCATTTCACCGACCAAAATAAATTATAGAAGATGATGTATACATGGATGATGTGGAATAAAATGTATACCTCTTTGTCTATCAACTTATGCTGACATAGCCCAAAAACCATTGACACATTGTCCAACTAATGTGGTCTAATATCATTGCATTTGTTTGCCAATTATTTTGATAATTTCTCAATTACTGAAAAATTATAGGAAAATCACTTCATAAATTCCCTCAAAAATCTTAGAAAAATTTATTTTCT